TGTGTGTGTGTGTGTGTGTGTGTGTGTGTGTGTGTGTGTGTGTGTGTGTGTGTGTGTGTAAGTATTCGATACACAGCGTCATAAAGAAGGAAAACAAGGGGGAGACAGGGTCGTAAATCCCAAAATCAATTCCTAGCCATCCTACAGTATTGCACGCCTACTAATTACCCCAACCCCGTGCCTTATTCGATATATCCCGAGAGCGGGCTGCTCCCGTGATTCACCATTTGGCCGGTACCCAAATTGTCTGGGGATTCTCCTCTCAAGGAGCCTAGTCCGATTACAACGGAGCAAACCAGGGAATCGGAAAAAAGGAATCGAAAAAAAGGGAAACGAAATAAAGGAGGGAGGAAAAAAAGGAAAAAGGAAGAAAAAGGTAAAAAGGGGGGGGAGAAAACGGGGGGCGAAGGCGGGTAAGCAGTCATATCAGAAGGGAAAACGGAGAGAGAGGGGGGAGGGGGGATCCATATGTAGAGCCAGCAAGGCTTCGTGAGCAATCTCGGCCACTCCTTGTCGCTCCTTCTCCCACCATCTGTATGCGCGTGTGTGTGTGTGTGTGTGTGTGTGTGTGTGTGTGTGTGTCCCTCCCCGTTCCCTCCGGGGGATGAGTTGTGCCGAGAGGGCGGTTGCCCGGAGGACAGCCGGCCCACTTGGCCAGTCGTCCCCCGGACATCCAACACACATACGCACATACACAGACACAAGCACGCACGAGGAGCACACGGTTAGTCCGTGAAGCCATACATATCGGATAGTGCCTCCCTGACTGTGTGCACGGAGACCTTGCCAGGCTGGTAGCGATGCTCATGCCACAAGGTTTTCCTGACCGCCCCCCAACAAGCATCCCTGGCGAAGCCGATGCCTCTCATCGTAGTTACAACTTTGTTGATTTCCGTGGCCGCATCACTTGGCTCGGAGCAGAGCAGTAGGATTTGCGCAACCTGGGCTCTGATGACCTACAGCGCCTGCTTGGTGCATGTGTTGGACTTGTACTTGATGAACCTGCATGGGGTGAACCCCAACCCCTCCCGCTCGTCATGCTTGGTGGTGATGAATGTGCCAGCTTCCGGGGATGTGACCGCAATGGTCAGGTTGAGAGAGTTGGCCCTGCGACCGCATCCGTCCATGACCACCTCCGTATTCTCCTTCAGCTCGATGTACTCCGTGGGATAGATCCATCAAGGGTCATCCACCGCTCTGTCCACTTTCATAAAGCTCCTGATGATGGTGTTGTTGATTGCGCTCAGGTCATCGATGTATCTGAAGGTGTCCGCAAAGTGCGGGACCAGATGGGCGTTGCCAGTGTACGCCAATCTCATCATGGCGTGATATTCATACTTAAAAAAGTATATATCACACCAGATTGAGGAACACGCTAGGCCCATATGGATTCCTCTTACCTGCCTCCACACATAGTCCCCCATGCGCAGCACGCTATTGGCGATGCACCAATCAGAAAGCCGGCAGATGTCCTTCTCCCTGAATAGCATCGTGCCCATCACTTCGGCCAGATTGGCATCCAACCATGAAGGCCAGGACTTGCCGTTGTCTCCCACTGTGATCTGAATAGTGTGGCATGAGCTCCTCTCTCTCCTCACCTGCATCGCACTCTGCACGTAGAATCTCACCGCCGCAGGTAGGCCGTCCACTGAGTTGTCCGTGGGGATTGTTTCGAGGCACTTGGTGATGTCCACTGTGAAAACCGAGAAGATTCTTTCCGGTAGGTTTGCACAGAATTCCCCCACCGAGGCAATGGACCACCAGAGGTTTGGCTTCACCCCATACTGCTCCTGCATCTCCAGGCTTCTCTCCTGACAGAATGTCAGTACCAGGGGAAGAAGGAATCGCAGGAGGCATGCACAGAGGTCCGCCGCCGGTGAGATGATCGTGCCGGCTGTGTTTGTGATCCATCGGAATGCGCCATTGTGAGCCTTGAAAACCGCCATCAGGTACGGGAGCGTCGAAGGTGCCATTGGTAGTGCTGAGAAGGCCGAGAGCTCGCGTTGTATCCGTGCAACCACCGCATTAAAGGGGGCAGCGATGCTCGCAAACTCCGGTCCAGATAGCCTCTGGAAGGCGAGCTTTCGGATAAAGTTCTTACAAACGAACGCCGGGGTGTTCGACGCCTTGTCGGTAGGACAGATGAGAAAGCGCCCAACAAGAAATTCCAGCTCTCGTTTTACTGCAGGATGCTCGAATGGCTCCGCAGAAACGTGCCTGTGTTGCTCCTTGTATTTGGACATCTTCACCCTCGCCTTCCTCAAAATCACATTCCGTAGAAACGACTGTGAGGACGCTGTGAGCTGCCGCAGTTCCAACACCCTCGCCATGAGCCGATCCAGGAAATCGCCCATCTCGTTTTCCGCCACGTTGACATCCAGGGCCATGCAGGGGATGTGGTTCAGTCCTGAGTTCATGATACCCTGCAGTAGAGTGTTGTCTGTGATCGATGAGTCGAGCGGGATCACGTGCGTGTGCCCTTCAGACTGGAGTAGATTCAAGGAGGCAGGGTTGCGCATGTCTGCGTATCTGTGCGATCTGCATGGGCACAACTCCGGATCATAGGCATCCATCCATTGCGCCACGTCGAAGTCGCAGAACACCTCCGCGGATCTGCAGAGTCTGGACGCGATACTGGCGTTGTAAGTCCATCTTATCATCGTGCGCTCCAGCCACATTGCCGTGTCATCTCCGACTATCCTCGCCATAACCTCATTGACCATTTTCCTGATGGAAAGAGGTTCCATCACCCTGCTGGTGTACTTAAGGTGCAGGAAGACGTCGCAATCCGACTTCTGTCTTTTCCAAGATTTTCGTCCTGTTGGCAACGTGATTATCTGCCCAGGGGCATTGATGCAGCAGCTCGGGTCCTGCGTCCCAAAAGTCACAATCACCGGACAGGGGTCGTGTCGGGTGGGACAGTGAATCTCAGAGAGGTGATGGGGCAGCGGGATCATTCAAGGAGATGGCCCGATCAGAGAGAAGGAGAGAAAAAAGGGGGGGGGGGGAAGGGGGCAGGAAAAAAAAGGAAGGGGGGGATTAAGAGGTCAAGCACGTGCTGTTCGCATGCCGGCGGAGGTGCCCGCCTTCGTGTTGCCCTTGCCTCGAGTACCCTTCTTCTTCCTCCCAGTCTGGGTAATCGTCGACTGTGCCGAGTTTTCTGGCGAAAGGAGGATGACAGGGGGAGGGGTGAGCCCCCTGATCATCATCATTGGTTGTAGCGGGAGTGGGGAGGTGAGAGTACGATTCACGGTTGTTCGTAACTGCGGGTTTGCAGTGAACGAGGTGCGTAGGTGATCAACACAGCTGATCTGCTGCAGTCCGGTGGACAGCACCACGGGTTGCGCTCGCGGAGAGACAGCCGAGGAGGGTGGAGGAGGAGGAGGGGGAGGTGGTGGAGGAGGAGGGGGAGGAGGTGTGGAAGAAGAGGAAGAGRGRGGGGGRGGRGGGGGRGGGGGGGGGGAAGAGTTGGGTACGGGTGTCACTCTGCGGAAGTTGAGCGTGGTCTGGCCCGGAATCTGCACGCCCGCGTTTCTCTTTCGGGTCATCACACGTGGGGAGCTGAGCGGGAATCTTGTGGGTTTCTCGGGGATGCGTGTGGGGAGCATGATCCGTGCTAGCATGGCGGGGATTGGGTAATTCCAGTCGGTCGTCCTTCAGCAGTCCCTCCGTATTGAGTGTGGCGTCGTTCTCCAGTTCCCTGATAAAACCCATCATCAGATCCCTGATAAAGTGAAAGGCGATGGCGGCGAGTATACCCTCCCTCCACATGGTTCTGATGTAGTGAATCAGCATTGACGTCCTGATTTTAATTGAAGACATGTCCGGGAATAGTACATCCGGGTGCACGAGTAAGAACCATAGGGCATGATCGAACCATAGCGGAGTGTCCCCGCAGTCCTTGTTTTTCTCCAACTTGCATTGACTTACCGTGAGGGCACGGGTGCACAGCCCGTAGTTTGTTTGTTGATGTTGTGTGTGTGTGTGTGTGTGTGTGTGTGTGTGTGTGTGTGTGTGTGTGTGTGTGTGTGTTTGAGAGAGAGAGAGAGAGATCAGGCACGGTGCCTCTTTGTCAAAATGCATCGATCGATAAGGCACCACGCTCCCCGCGCACACAGGGAGACTATCACTTTGTGAACGCAGAGGGAACGGGAGCGGCCGCTGCTGCTTTTGGCCTGTTTCGATTTCGACCACGACAGGCTTCGAATTCAAACCACCACTCTACCCGACGTTGGACATTCGGGGGACCGGTAGCACAGGTCCATGAGGGCTACCAGTAGCACAGAGTGGAGAACCGAGTGGTGAATATGAAAAATGGGATGAATTTGCGCTATAAGCTATTTTGCGGTTGAGATAATTTTTTCAATTTTTTAAAATATTTTTCCTGAAAAGATCATGACCAAATCTCTGGACCCTCAAATTTTCAGTCTTGTTTACGAGTTTTTCTGAGCGTGAAAAATCTTTGAAATAGGGGTACTTTTCCCGTTGGCCCACAAGTTGTTGTGTGCCAAAAATGGAAAAAGTGACGAATTGGCGCGACATTTATTTCATGGTCTAAACGATTTTATTTTATTTTGTTGATATTTTTCCTGAAAAGATCACGACCTGGCCTACGAAAAATCGCCAAAGTTGGCGCTTGAAAATTGCAAGATTGGACCCGCCTGCGCCTTCCAGTCGGCGCCCTCCCTAAAAATCCGCCCTAACTCACCACAGGGCCTGCGTCCACGCCGTTTCAGATTCGAAATTTCAAGGCCCTAATGCCACGGGCGGCTTCCGGTCCTGCACTTCATTGAATTGCCTATTTCCCATGAATTGGACCCCCAGCAAATACACCACCCTTCCAACTACCGCACCGTTTGGTGACGACGACGAAAAATGTTCCCAGGCCATAAAACGCACCCCTGACGGGCTGCGAACTTATATTTGAGATAGGGTCTACCCACGCTCCATATCTTTCTCATGTTCCTCACGTCTAGTCTATCCTGCTTTCTAATCACCTTTTGCCACATCCCGGAGCTCGTTTCGCCGCACTTGTCAGGATCGAAGGTACGCATGGGCGGGAACTTCAGATCTTGGGGATCCAGTGGGGGGACTCTCCCAGAGAACTTCAGTTTACCTTTCAGCACCTGAGTCCTACAGTCCTTGACCTGTGCGTCTGTGATGTTGCCTAGAAACTGAAGTGCCCTGATGGAGATAGGTGCGAGGTGGTTAAAGGTCTCCATCTTCCAGATCGCGTGTCGGAACCCGGTGGACGTGTGTTCTACCCAGTACGCGGATGCTAGGGGGGCGAAAGCACTGTATCTGTCTCGTTCCGAGGCGCTGTCATCTGTTCGGCCACTCGTGAGGGGGGAGTCCCTGATGGTGTTGGCGATGGCAGCAATCGTGCGCTCCATCTCCTCCCTTTCCTCAGCTTCGATAGCTAGATCATCGCATCTCGTAGGCCAGGTCGTGATCTTTTCAGGAAAAATATCAACAAAATAAAATAAAATCGTTTAGACCATGAAATAAATGCCCCGACGTTTTGGGGATTCGTCCTTCCAGGTGTGAGTCATAGACGCCCCATATCCGAAGAAAGATTTGTTCAACCTTCGCAGACCTACCCCCCAATTCCCTACACTCCCTAGTGTACTCCTGTTTCCTCAGCTCGAGTCGTTCACACAAAACTCTCAATCCGTCATCGAATTCCTCTTTGCTACGTTTCCAGACTCCTGCGAGGATGGCGAGATCACTAAAACAGAGCATCTCGAAAAAATGGGGAAAGCACCCAGTGTCCCAGGCCTCCTTTATCGCATCCACGACTCCAGGGTTGACGCAGGTCATCAAAGCCTGTGTAGGCTTCGCAGGCCAGGCGCAATCCTTGAGCCATGGAAAGCGATGCATAAGTTCGTTCCACCAACCGTCGGGGAAGGATTCCTTGGGAGGCCTTTGCGGCTATGATTTGGGGAAAACAGGAAACAGGGAGAGAAGACAGGGATAGGAGGGGGGTTCAGGGAAGAAAGCGAAATTGGGGGAAACAATCGGGAGGTAGGAAGGGGAGATGGACGGGGGAGAAAGTAGTGGGGATCATGAGGGAGAGAGGGGGGAGAAAGGGGAGGGGGGGAGAGGGGGAGGGGGGGAGGGGGGAGAAGGGGAGAACCACACACAAGCGGACAGTAGAGAAATGTCAAAGGAGATTCCCACCAACAGTCTCAATCTCACAATGCGTTTCACCACAAAACGCGCAACACACAGCCGTCTTCTATTTTCGATATCGTCCAGTCATCCCCTCATTAACATCAGACGTCCTCGGCGTACCCCATAGCCACAATCGTCACCTCATTTTTACGCAGGGGCGTATAAGGAACGCAACATCCATCACGGTGCGGACGGGGGGGGCGCCCCCGGACAGCGATAGAGGAAACATGTCCTCATGAGTGTATTAGCATGCGCATGTCACATGCATTTCGCACGCACGAGCACGACACGTCATGCTCGTGCTACTCCGACCAAAAGCGTCGGCACACCGTAAGCAAACAGCAAGACGCGAGAGGCGAACTTCAAACGCGGCGAGGTAAAGCCACTTGGTATGTCCATTTCGTGGTGAGGGTAACAACGAGGCCGTTTACCGGGTGAAGTTCGGCCAATCTAACGCAAGTGGCGAACAGAAGTGAGGGGGGTAGGGGTGCTTCGTATCGCAAGGGGGCAACAACCAAACTAATCGCATAGATGTTCGAAACACAACTTCGAAAAAAAAGCGACAATTCTATCGACCATCATATAATGCGTACATCATCCATACGAATGACAAATTGTAAGACAGGAAGGAAACAGCGATCCATGAAGCATAGCATCTGACAATATTCCAAGAGATTGGCCCATTTATCCATAGAAAACGAAAGCACTTGGAGAAAGACGAAAAACCGACAATCAGGAAGCAACCATTGTGAGGAAGGAGAAAGCTACAAATAACGCGTAGCATTATTCCAGATTGGTCCATTCATCCATAGGAAATCGAGAGTAGTTTGAAAAGGACGAAAGAACCACAATCATCCACAATAAATCGAAAGCACTTTTGAAAAAGACAAAAGAACAACAGTTATTGCAACACAACGTATCAAAAAATCAAGAAAATTCAGCTCCTTATTCCAACCGAGAAGAATTACTACGTCGCCCATCTCGCTCCTCTACTATCAAACGATTGCAGGGTTTCAGGGGGATAGAAGGGGAGATCGGGGAAGGAGGAAGAGGAAAAAGGAAGGGAGGGAAGGGAAGCGAAGGAGGAGGAGAGGGAGAGGGCGCGGGGAAGAGGGGAAGGGAAGGGGGAGGGGGATATCCCGCTTCAGCTCTTTCCTCCAGATCGACGCATTCCTGCAGCTGCGTGGATCATCTCGCCGAATCGCGGGAAGGGCGTCGAAGCTCCCTAAAACGCTTTTCTGCCCCATGCCACGTGGGGCGTCATCAGAGGGTGGGACATCTTCCAGCGTCCCTGGAAGGTGGGGGGGTGGTGGTGGTAGTGGTTGGGTTATGGACGGGGGTGCATTGTGATAGGGATGATGGGGGGTTGCGGGACCGGGGACGAGGGGCTGGGGATGGGGGAGGGGGGTGGAATGGGGATGCGGAAGGGGTTGGGGGATGGAGTAGATGAAGTAGAGGAAGGCAAGGAAGGAAAGAAAAGCGAGAAAGGCCAAGAAGGCGCATGCGGGCGCCTCCGTCATAGTCTTGTGCTCCATGGCGCCGCTCCGCGCAGTATACTACGTCTAACTAACAACCACGTCCACCTCCTGCACCAACACGAAGAAGAGGCAGCAGCAACTGGCAAGAAAGATGGCCGCGAAGCAAATCGTGCAGGCGATCAGCAGTGCGAAGCACCTAGCCGATAGTCGG